TTGTAATCGTTTTGTATTTTTGCGAAAGCGAAAATTTCATTTCAATTCAGTAACGGTCGTATTCACTAATTTGTGTTTGTATATTAAAAAAAGAAAGAAATAATAAAAAAATGCGAAAATTTCCGTCTCCAAAACGGGCGCAAATGTAAACTTTAAGTTTTACCTTTTACTTACATGACTAAACTGTAGTATATTTCACAAAAAATCCGACTACGATGGGACCTGAAACAACGATTTATGCTTCTTTTAATATGAAAATATGTTTTTGTTGAGGCAAGATAGAAATTTTTTTAGTATATAAATTTATTCATAGAATATTTAAAAATAGTTCATTTCTCAGTTTTCTTATTTTATTTTACTCGTTTTCATCTTTTTCTATTTATAAATGTTGTCTCAGTTCTAAGTCGTGCTTAGCTAAACGCACATTCTTCAGTAATTATCGAGCTTTGTTGTTTTGTGTTTGTTATCGCTCCTCAGTTTTTCATTGAGAAAAGTTGTAGTGAAAAAAATTCCATTTCAGCACTTTTTACACGTTGCAAATGCAAATATGCGCATTTTTAATGTTCATGTGAGTCATCCGTTTGGGGTTTGTTTCATTCTAGCTGTTAAAGCAAAGAAAAATAAATGAGAATATATTTTTTTACATTCACATTTTAGTAAAGTTTACAAGTATTTTTTCGCAGGAATTTGTATGTATTCCTCTACATATCCATACATACACTAGGCTACAAATATAAGTGTACACCTTCACAATTATTTTCATGAACATTTTTTTTTCATTAATTATTTATGAAAATATAGTTCATTCTATAATATAAGCCATATAAATAAAAGTTTCACACTTTATATTAAGTTCACAAAAATAAAAATCAAATCTCCAAATTTTTTTACATTTTATTCAGAATTTCTAGAAAAATTTTTAGTATGCAATTTTGCAGCCCATTCAATAAAACAAAGAGCCAATTTAAAAATGAGGACGAAAGAGTTGACCAAAAAAATTTGACGCTTAAATATAAAAAAAAACGCAAGAAACGCCACAAAGAAAAAGCCATCGTGTAAATACAAGGGGGTTTTCGAAGACTTTTTTAAAAGGGAACGTGCAAAAAACGCAGAATGAAAAGTCATCATGTAAATTGGCTCAAAGTGCGTGCAAGTTTCAAGTCGCTAAAAATTAACCTTGACTTTTTAGATTTTATTTTTGTGGATGGTGTTTTAAATTTTGTCATCTTGTTATTTTATAAGTAGGGCTCGGAATCTCATGCACTAAAAAATCGAAAATATCCGCATATAGATGCACGCAAAATTCAAAAATATGCGCTATAAACAAGTAAAATATGCGATTAAAAATATTTTCATAATATTTTATAGGTACGTCATACAGAGAGAGGCAGCTGCACTCGTAAACATTCTGCAGGAATGGCTTGCAGAGTGTCTTTAGCCTCATCCTTTCGAAGGCTGTACATTCGCATAGAAAGTGTTGGACTTTCTCTTGGTTTAAAGTGGGTCGTAGAACACCCAGATCTAACAGAGGTTGAAGAGAGTGCCTCAACGGCAATTCTTTTGTCAAGAAGAATTTTTTTGCCAAGAGATTTCGCACTAAATTTAAATGGTTGTAAATGAAAAAAAGCAAAAATATGCAAAAACGATATGCATTTATTGTAAAATATACTAAGATAACTTAACCATTTCCACTTGAAGATGCCCAATAAAAACATGCATTTGCATGAGATTCCGAGCCCTATTTATAAACAATGTACACTGTGTTGTATTATGTCTTACTAAATTGCACTATTAGCAATTTAGGCAAACCTACGTCATATCGGCAAAATATGCTGCACGTATGTATATTCATGTCACCTAGACCTTGAATCTCTACAACTTTCATCCAAAACATTTAGTCACGCACAGAGGTGGGTGCGGAGAGATGAAACGCCTCATATGATAAAATGAAGGTAATATATTTTTCTCTAACTACACAGCTAGATATTGTAAATTCAAAACTCAACATCCTCAGTTCATAAGATGCATATATGTAATACTTCTATATTGATAGTAAGCTAACATCTCAATGTGTAAGCATTCCGAAATCAAAGCGAGACAGTCTAGTACTGTTTTTGTCAATGTATTGTGTACTTGAGTGCCGGTTTTGTAAATGTGTCGTGTACATGTTTATTTATAAACGTATGTGTTCCTTTTCTTTCGTGCGTGTTTATTGATATATCTGTACTGTAGTGTTTTCGGACGGTACTAGCTCTTACTGCCAATATAGGAGTATTACATATATGATAAGATGGCGTGAATTCGCATGAAATTTGATAAATCGCCTCTGAACTCTTTCTATGCGTTCCGAATGTGTGACAAAATCTGAATCCCAAATAATGCAAGCCTATTTCAAAATAGATCTCACCAAACAAGTATAAAGACTTTTAAACGTAAGCGAATTAAGTACATATCAATTTTTAGTTTATCACATGAATTTCCCTAACCCCATACGATTTCATTATTTTCCCACAGCAATCCATTGTTTATTTATTTTTATTTATTTTTTTTTCATTTTTACTCGAACTGAAATTCAACACCCCAAGCTTACTGATTAATGCAAAATTGTGTGGTTGTTAAAGCCTTCTGAATTCGCTTTTTTATTTTAATTCCATTACCTTTGCTGTGTTTTGTTTGTGATTTACAAGTGAATCATATTACATACTCTGAGTAATGCAATGCAGCAACAATAGCAAAACTTAATTACAATCGCTTAATGCGCTTAAACTCACCACAAATCTTCACACAAAAGGCCGCAAAGCAGCTACATACATATGTACATATTGGTGAGTTCTTTGCAGAATTATACAGGTTGTTACTTATTTTGTTGTTGTTGCTTTTGCTCTCGCTGCATTTCGTATTGTTCATTAAGAGTGGACATTTTTGCTGCACTCGCTTGCTGGCTGAAACAACATGAAAGGCCAGCCGAACGATGTAAATGAAGAAAAATGTTGGAACTTGGACATCCGATTCTCCAACTGGTCAGTGTTACCGCCATGTTACTTTCATTTGCGTCATACAAGTTGATGATTGAATGTATAGATATTGTTCATCTTCACTATCACTAGTGGAAAGTTCTATAAGAACGTGTAGCCAAAACAACAACCCCATGATTCATATATTGCAAGAACCAAAATGCTGATTTATGGAAAAGCAAGTAATGCTTTATGCGCGTATCCGAAACCCACCTAAGTACTTGCGGAAAGGATTCGAGTACAAAAAGTACTTGAAGAAAGTATCGAGTATTAACTCGTATCGGAACAACCCTACTTACATTTAGAACCGTTTGTTGTTACTTTTGGGATCCCTAAAGTCAGTGTTCTAGGACCGCTTTTGTTCGTTTTGTTTATTAATGATATCGGGTCCTACTTCAATAATTGTGATAATTGCTATATGTGAGGGATGGTGTCAAAAAAAAATGTTATCTCTTCCTTATGACCCTCGCCAAAACATTAAACAATTTTTCAATTAATAATCATATTTTACATCAACAGGAGGCTTTCGTTAATTACTCTATTTATCGTGGTGTCGCTTTTGACTCAGACTATTCATATATGAATGATATATTCTTCCGAATGCATATAGAAACTTAGATAAGATAGATAGATGTAGATAAGATTAGCGGTATTTCGATGGAAAACCACTCCACTGATTTGAAAGATGCAAATTAGTACGAAGTTTTATTGAATTTTCCCAGTTTTGCACAAAGTGGAGAGATTTTATTTTTTTGTTTTTTGTTGTAGTATGAACTATATTTTTATAAAAATTTTGCGAAAAGAAATTAGAATAAAAGACTTTCCATACATTGCGAAAAATTCCTTGCCAATACTTTTGCCCTGCACTGTATGTAAGTCATCCAACAGCAAAAATAACGAGATACATTTTTTTTTATTTCATACAAAGAACTCGGGGAGAATGCACGAAATTTTCAATTCGAAATTTTCGAAAAAAGTTGCGTATGCAGTTATGTAGCCCATTAAATTTTAGTATAATGATGTGGCACGGAAACGGAAACAAATAATATCGTCTAAATTTCAGGGTATACTTATACTTAGAATTTTTCTTACAAATATGATTTGAGTTTTGCACAAAGTCGAGAGATTTCATTTTTAACCGACTTCCAAAAAAGGAGGAGGTTATCAGTTCGTCGGAATATTTTTTTTTTTTTTTTTTATGTATGTTACCGCATAACTTTGGACCACGTCAACCGATTTTTTTTATATGAGAGTTGAAGTCGGTTTTTTTTTTGCTAAAAATTACTTGTTATGTATTATGTTGCAGTATAAACTATATTTTTATAAAAATTCAGCGAAACGAAATTAGTCTAAAAAACTTTGCATACATTGCCAAAAATTCTGCCAATACATTTGTTCGGCACTGTATGCATATTTTTATAAAAAAAAAATAAGAAAAATTTGGTACATAAACATAAATAAATAAAATCGTCAAAACGTCAGGGTATACTTATTTTTGACTCTCACTCTAGATATGCACATATGTACATACATACATACGTATAAATGTATGCAACTAACAGCTTATCGCTTAACTGCTTGAAAATGTAAGTACAAATTAAAGGAAGAAAACCCATCCACTAACCAGCCCTTTACAATTTGATAAAATTCAACACAAACTCATGTCGAATGAAAGCAAATTGGATTTTTTATGTTGCTTTTGTGCCATTTGGCGGTTAAAACAAGAGGCCAATGCGACATCACGTTTCCCTATTGACTGACGTACTACCGAACGACCAACTGACCGCCAAGTCAGCCATATAATCACCACAAATGCGCGGTCGCGGTCACTGCTGCTGCAGTCAGTCGCCGTCTGGGACGTTAATTACATTTTGTTACATTCAATTCCATTGTATGCATAGCACCCTTTCCTTCTACAAACACTTTGCACACACTGTCTTTTTTCATTATTATTTTCACTCTTTTATTCTTTTATTTCCCTTGCAGTTTTCGAGTATTGAAACACCTGGTTATGTTGGCTTCGCCAATTTGCCAAATCAGGTGCATCGTAAATCGGTGAAAAAGGGCTTCGAATTCACGTTGATGGTGGTAGGTGAGTCCGGACTGGGGAAGTCCACCTTGGTTAATAGTCTCTTCTTGACGGATCTGTATCCGGAGCGAGTTATTCCAGACGCCATAGGTGAGTAAAAAAATTAAAGTATTACTTTTAACTTATTTTAGTTTTTTATTTCTTGTATTTTCATGCATGTTTTCAGAAAAACAAAAGCAGACCGTCAAATTAGAAGCCTCTACAGTTGAGATTGAGGAGCGCGGCGTTAAATTGCGTCTAACGGTTGTTGATACGCCCGGCTTCGGTGATGCAATCGATAATTCGGATAGCTTCAGCGCCATACTGCAATACATTGATGAACAGTATGAGCGTTTTTTGCGCGATGAGAGCGGCCTGAATCGTCGTAACATTGTGGACAATCGTATACACTGCTGTTTCTATTTTATATCGCCTTTCGGACATGGGTATGTACCGCAATAAAATTTTGAAATTCTCCTTTGATAATTTCCCACACTTTTTAACAGCCTTAAGCCACTCGATGTAGAATTCATGAAAAAATTACACTCCAAAGTGAATATTGTGCCTGTGATCGCTAAAGCTGACTGCCTCACAAAAAAGGAGATCCTCCGTCTCAAATGCCGTATCATGCAAGAAATAGAGGATCATGGCATTAAAATATATCCACTGCCTGATTGTGATTCCGACGAGGATGAGGATTACAAAGAGCAAGTAAAACAGCTGAAGGAAGCGGTGCCGTTTGCAGTATGTGGCGCAAACACGCTGCTCGAGGTGAAGGGCAAAAAGGTGCGTGGCCGCTTGTATCCGTGGGGAGTTGTGGAAGTGGAGAATCCCGATCACTGTGACTTTATTAAGTTGCGTACGATGTTAATGTAAGTTTGTAAAAAAAAAGTCACAATTCAAAAGTAAAATACAATTTTTCAAACTTGCTGCTCTATAGTAATTCGATAAATGCACTTTTCCTTTTACTTTCCAGCACTCATATGCAGGACCTTCAGGAAGTCACCCAAGAAGTGCACTACGAAAATTATCGTTCCGAGCGTTTGGGTAAGGGCCGCAAGGAAAATGGTATGAAAGTCGAGCGCGACTCCATGGTGCCAACGCAAATTGTCGTGAGTAGCGTCATCTCCGAGAAGGATCGAATATTACAAGAAAAGGAAGCGGAGTTGCGACGCATGCAGGAGATGCTGGCGCAAATGCAGGCCAAAATACAAGCGCAACAATAGGTCTAGAGAGGGAGTGTGCGAAAGAGTGCAAAGTAGCGCAGGTGTAAGCATAAAAAACTATATACTATAACGGCAACAACAACTAAAGCAGCAACAATAAAAATAGTAATAATAAAAACCAAATTGACAAGAGCAGCCGAGCGACTGCTGACTCAGGTGATGAAGCTAATATGAAATATGTTAGAGCATTGTATTACTATTACTGGCTAGCCAGAATGTAGTACCACAGCCACAAGCTATTTCGCTAGCTACATCAGCTACAAGCCAAGCAATAACACACCATAACCACAGCTATATATTGTGGGAAGTATAGAGCATTTGGAATATTTGGACTTTTGACCTCACCATTCTGGTTAGCCAGTTAGACACGACAGCAGCAACAACAAGGAATATTAGAACGTTAAATTGTGAAGCTGCGGTGCATTTCTTCACAAATGCCTCCACAAAATTACAATCTTTAAGAGCTGCTTTTTTACTAACAAAATGTTCTAAAATAGTTTTTTATTTCGAATTTTTTTTATTATTAAATAGTTGAGTAACATTCTTGGACCAACTTCTTGCACCTAGACGTTAATTTTATGGTCTTTGTATAAAAATATTGGGCATTGTTTTGTAATTATTAGCAACTATGCTTATTTTTAATATTATTTGATATGTAGTAACTAGTACATATAGGCAGAAACATTCATATATAGCCTTTTCGTATTTGGGTAACTCTATTAAATTCGAAGAAAAGAAAAAGTTGAAAAACTTTTCATACGAATTTCCATGCGAATTTTGAGAGCTCGGTTTAAGTTTCCCGATTTTCCAATTTGAAGAAATACATCTAAAATGTATATATTTGAATATCTTATGTTGTTTTCACGACGGAAACAGTATATTTCTGCAATGTTTTATGTTACGTAAGACGACTTTAAATTCCTGACATGGTGCAAAAAAAATTTACATGCATCGCATATTTAAATCAAAAATATTCATAGTGGTTGAGAATAACCAATGCTGCTTAGGACGAACTCGGTAAATTTTTGGTTAATGTTTTCTAGCCTTCGGTATAACTTAAAATAACAATTATTTGTATTGTTTAAATGAGTTTACATACCCGCCCACACACGTAAACACACACACCTTGAAGTACATTCTAAATTTTGCTCATACTCACTCTACATACATAATAATGTAGTATTTAAGTACTTCAAACATAATCACTAAGGACCTACGCATGATTAAAACACAAAGCCACCGTCACAAAAAAAGATGTGGGAAAGTATCCACAAACATCCATTTTAACCGCTCGCACTCTAAGCATTTCAGTTATTTTACCACAAACGCCTACACGACATCCGCCCATATTTGTTATACGTACCGTACACACAATTACTTGGTCATTGTTGAAGTTTAATTAAACACAGCACTCCATTTTACATATTTGAATAGCCACTTGAGCTTGTTTTTTATTAGCCTTATCTGGTTTTACTTATATGAAAACATAATTTTTTGCAATCTAAAAATTAAAAAAAAAAACATGTATGCAGATAGTATGTCAGTCCTATATAAATGAGAATATATTTTTAATTACACAGAAATGATATGGAAAATATTTTTATATTAATAACTACATATGTAAGCAATATGCTTTCTACATTTTCGAATTGTCTTTGAAATTATTTGCATACATACCTTTTTTGAAAACTAAGATGTTTTCAACTAAAATGTATGCTATTAGTAATAATAACTATTTTATTGACACATGTATGTATGTACATCCACATTTCGGTTTAATCATAGCATTTGTAATGTTTTAGTAATATGTACATAGAAAATTTATGAGCTAATAAGTACTTTTGTAAGAAAAAGAAGAAAATGATTTACTTATCTGAAAGCTTATAAGACTTGGTTCTGTTGAAAATATAAATTTTTAGGTGTAAAAAGCACAAGAAATTATTTACAATTAAATGCTTAAAGTTGGAAAATTCACAAACCATTAATGTGTTTGACAGTTAACATTTCTGGTTAAGGAAATGCCCTTTTCTGGTATAATAAAGTAAATATAAATAGTTTTGACAATACTAGCAACTACATCTAGATGGTCCTCTGCAATAACGACACAATTCAAAATGCACAAAGTAAAAACTTACTACTGTTAAGTAGCTCAAGTCTATAATCCTTATCTAATTTTTACAACATACTGTAGTAAGTGGATTAGACGAGGATTATCGACATAAGCCACTTAACAGTAGTAAGGGATTTTATATTTTGAATTTTGAATTTTATCGCTATTGCAGAATACCACCGAAGGCACATTAAATAAACTCCCTTTGATTTTCATATATAAAAATCAATTAACAAAAGTGCTTGGTTTCTTTAAAAGCATAAATTGGTTTGTCAAATTTTGCTTGGTGCTGCTCTGGCTTTTTTACTCCTTAGCTTTTCCTATATACACACACATGCATACAAACATATACATACATATAGGTATCATACCTAGATCCATACATATGAACGACTTAGAATCATAAAAAGATATAAGTAACTAAATAAAAAACAATTATTTAATATTTTGTAAACTCTAAACGCTAGTATGTACATAATTACATACAAATACAAATGCTGCATTATTTAATATAAATAAATAGCTATATTAAAATCTTGATATATAGAATATCTAAATATATACTTGCGCTAGTAAAAAAGGAACAAATACGGTGGACCAACAACTTTGCTGTTGATTAATTCAAATATGCAATAATTACAACTAAAAAAACAACACTAGTTAAACAATTTCAATATAAAAAAATGTCGAGTGAAAGTTTAAAAAGAACCTACCAACGCATATACATACATGCATATGTAGTATATACTATGTAGACTCAGCTGTGCGTAAGCGTTGATGTGCTGTGGTATATTTGCAATCTCGCTGTGCATTTCGATCTGCAAAAGCATTATATATAATTATAATAGATTTGCATTTACACCAGCGGTTTGCACAAAATTATCAGGACAACAAAGAAAAACTTTTAATTATAAAAATTTAAGCTATATGATAATAAAAAAAATACATAAATACATTTATACTCGCTTTTATACCTACATCAAAATAACATGCTGTATTTTTTTTTAGTTAATTTGTACCATCAACAATTTATTTTGCTCATTTTCGAACTCGTGCACCTTTACATATCGCACACCTAGATCTAAAGTGAGCTAGCTCAAAATTCAGAGGGAAGTTGAACTGCTTGTGGATCGTATAGATTCAACGCAATTAATACAAAAACGGGTATAACAGTAGTTTTTTAGTTAATGTATATAATCATGAAAATATTTTTTGAGTCGATCGCACTTTAGATCTAGGTGTGCGTTATGTACATAAGAAAATAAATGCCTGTTATTTAAATACTTTAATAGGGGTATTCTCTGAGTCTTGCAAAGCCCTTTCACGTTGCCTGGTTTGCAAAACCCTTACGAAAACCAGCAAACGAGAGAGAATTGATAGAGCAAAAATGACAGCTGAACTTGCAATTTTTACTGGATAAATTTTTACTAGGAACTATTTGCTAGTAAGAATAACAGCTGATGGCATGATGCTTAATGCAATTCACATTACCAAAACAATTGTTCGTGGTGCTTTTAGAGTTGCAATTGACAAAATAAACCTATTTAAATATATATTAAGATGAGAAATACTATTTTTCTTAGAAAATTGCGTTGGAAAATAACAAATTAATCAGCTGTTCATAAAACTTGCAACTTCTTGCTGGTTGTGTTTTCGTACTTGTATATTTCTCTCTTTGGGAGTAAATATTGGTTTATACTAGGTTTACATATAAATATATTATACATATAAATATATTATCCGCTTAACTCCCTTATCTGTCAATAGAAAAAGAGTTCAGCCATACAAAATTCGTCCCTTGTTAATCTGTAATTATAAAATAATCTCAGATTTAACCGATAACTTTTCAGTTTCTAACCATGGTACAATAATTGCATGAATTGTCTTCCCACGAGCGCATATTCCGATCTGCCTTATTTGAAAAACATCATTGTTGCCCACATTAAAAGGTTCACTGCTAGGCAAAAAGGGATATTTCCATACCCTCCCTGCAAGAACAGTGACTATCATTTGACAAATCATTTGAGTAGCAAAACTGATAGAGATTTCTGTCACTGGCTACCTACAAGTTTCTATCAAATTCTAAAGGGCAGTGTGAAAAATCTGATGGAAACTTTTGTGTACGTGTGATGCTTCATCTCCTTCTAACATATACGTTCTGGCATATTGCTAGACTGCTTACTCCTTTTGAGTCCGGCATTCAAATTTTAGTCATCAGTAGTGATGTAAATCTTCGACAGTTATGAGTGATCAACCTTGATAGAATTAAAAGTCAGTAATGTGCAATCAAATTTGATGTAATAACCGATCAATCATGACACATCAAGTCTGCATTGTTTTCATATCATTGTTGATTACTCACAGTTGATGTAAAAATTCGTCTAGTCTGATCTCTCTTCCACGATATAGAAATGTATCATTAATGACACATGTAATACTTGTTTTTTCTTTTATTTTCATAAAATCTTATGAACTAATTATTGATCGTCAAAAAATTAGAAGCTAAGTACATTACATCAAATTAGAAGCTAAATACATTACCCTAAGCACAGTACATTAAACATTAATCAACAAAGGAAATGTGGCCAAAAATTAAGCAAAATAAGGCGTTTCTATTATTTTTGCCACCAACGTACATAATTACATACTTAAATCTAATATCCTAAAATTATACATTTCCTGCCGATATGTTTTTAGATTTTTTGGTGCAAGCGGTGATGGCTGAGCTCAATTGCCTTCCTGATTTTATTTTCGAACTCCACAGGACCTTTAGTTTTAAATGCCTCTAAGTGGATTGAAATAGATTATCAAAAAATTTGTATTGTTAAAAGATATGTACATATGTAGTGGCGACATAATTAGGGATACTACTTATTTATAAGTTTTGACCATTTATTTAAGAACTTGCGTCGATTTTTGAGAATTTTTGACAAAGTATGTTAAAAAGGTTTATATATAGTTATAAATAAATAACGAAAAAATAAATGGTCAGAACTTGTTGTGTCCCTAATATGTGTGCATATTACCTCGTAGGATTGTGTCAACCAGTACAAGTTTGTTTAGTGGTTTTCTCTCCCATCTGCCGTCACAGTCAAGCTGCAGCAATGCCTCGTCCGAAAATGAATGTTTAATGGCTACGTCCTCAGACACACCTTTTATTTTTGATATAATTGACCTTTGAAAAATTTATGTTCAGCAATTAGAACGTGAAATATGTATTCCATAACATAATTCATTACCATGGCTTGTGCATACTCTGGATCTTTTAATTTTGTTTCTATTAAATTCACAGCGCAATAGGACTGCAGTGGTAGAGAACTGGCGATGCGATGCAATTTTTTAATATTGGATTTGTAAATCCGTTTTTCTTTTTGAGCATCTTTTTGTTTTGCGTCTTTCTTTTTTCTGTTGATGTGCGCATTTGAACTTCTTCAGTACCAAGTACTTTATAATACGGTTTTATTTATTACGTTTATATATAAAAAGAATGTCATACCACAATGAAAACTTTTATTTTTACTTACTTTTGCTATGAACGGGGTCGAATAATGATAAAATTAAAATTTAACTAATTAAGTTCAAAATTATTTCCAAGTACTTCAGTACTCGACATTAT